AGTTTGATGATGATGTGTCTTGGTGATTTTCTTTTGGGGTCTGTCCTGTTTGAGGTTCATTGGACTTCTTGGATGGATATATTCTCATCTTTCATCGTATCAGGGAAGTTCTCCTCCAACGGATTTTGGGCAATTTTCTCAGTCTATTTATTTTTCTCTTCCTGCTCTGGAATTCCAGTGACACGTAGTTTATTCCTTTTGATCGTATCCCACATGAACCTTAGGCTTTCTTCATTTTGTTTTGATTTTTTTTCTGATTGTTCCCTTTCCAAAGAAGTATTCAGGTATTTGTCTTCAGTATCATTAATTCTGTCTTCCGTTGCATCAATTCTGCTCCTTTGCCCTTCTAATGTATTATGTTTTTCTGACAATTTAGTATTGATCTTCTGTATTTCTAGCTGTAGATTTAGAATAATTTCTAATTTTTCATTTAATTTTTCATTTTGTTCTTGAATTTTCTTCCAAAATTCTTGTATGGTTTTTTCTGTGTCTTCTTTGGTCTGTCTCTCAATCCTTTGAAGATACCTAAATGTCATTCTTTTGAATTTTTTATCAGAGAGTTCCAATGCTGCTTCTTCCTCAGGGATGTGTTCTGGGTCTGTATCCTGCTCCCTTGTTTCTACCACTTTATCCTGCTTCTTTGTGTGGGCTGTGATTGTCTGTTGTCTCCGAGGCATTGTGACGTTGTTGAATTTAGATCTCTGTTAAGTGTTTGTGAAGAGCAGTCAAGGGTGATTCTGGCTCTTCTTGGTGGTTTTTTATCGTTGGCCCATTGGTGGAGAAGGAGGTAGTGGCTCTCACTCAGTAAGTGAAGTTGCAGTACGTGTGGGTATAGTTGTGTCTTATGGGGACTGTTGTTGTCTTCTACTCAATTAGATACAAATTACAATTGAATAACCTTCAAAAAACTAAAAGCACATGGGCAAAAAACACGCCATGTAACCACATGGAACAGTAACCAAAAAAACAAAGGGAAAAAGAAGAAAAAACAAGAAAACCTGCAATATCTGGGGATAGGGCATTAAGAGAAAAAAAATAGAGAAGGTGAATAATGAAGGAAAAAAAATGGGAAAAATGAAAAAAGAGAAATAAGGAACGAGGTTAACCACGAGCAAAAAGGGGTGGAAAAAAACTTAAAAAAAAAAGTTTCAACCAGGAACAGGGAGAAGAAAAAATGCTGAAAACTAGAATCTGGGAGGGGAAGATTAAGAATAATAGTAAAAAGGACAAAAATATTAATAATAATAGTTGTTTTAAAACAGACAAATACAAGCAAACTAATCACCAGAAAAAGGAAATGAAAAAGAAAAAAACAAAATAAAAAAAGGAAAGGGGGAAAAAAAAATCAGTGGAGGACAGGGCAGGCCACCAGGCTCCGTCTGAGCACACAGACTGTGTTGGAGTTCCTGTGGGCCCAGAAGGTAGGTGGGAGTGGGGGATGGCCACACCTCCATTCACCAAGCCGGTGTGGGTTATAAGAGTAACAAGACAAATGTCGTTACTTTTCAGTCTTTCAGGTCCAGAGGGTCCTTAGGTTTGCTGGAAAGCAGAAGGTGTTCTTAAGCCCCAGGAATCTGCAAGAGCGCTGTCTCTTTAAATATCTAATATAGTCAAGCTGCTTTTAGACCTTCAAAATGGCAGTGTCCTCCAGACTGGCAAAAGTCCACAGCTCAGCCTTCCTTTCTCTTCACCTTCTCCATTTATTCCCCAGCCACTGGAGTAGTCCTCTGTGCAGTCCCTGGCTAGCAGGGCTGATTTTTTGGTTAATTCTTAAGTCCCACCAGCACTCGGGAATCTCCAAGCTGTCTGTGCCTTCAGGATCACTGCCAGACCACAGCTCCATATGTCTCCTTTTTTGGTATTTTCACACAAATTCTTCTGCTAGTTGGGGCTTAGTCCACTTCTGTATCCTTCCCTTCAAGGCTCAGGGGTCCAGGATTATCTTCTGTGTCTGTGTTAATTTGTTTCCGTTTTCTTTGTTGAAGAGGGTCTGTGCAGTCTTTCTGCCTAGTCCGCCATCTTGCTGACACTCTTACCCATCTGTTTTCCTTCCCTTCCCTTCCCCTCCCATGCCTGGTAATCAACAAAGAAAATTTCCTCCCGTTTAAACCTTTCATTGAACAACAACAGTATACAACAGTATTTCATTGTGTGTATATACCATAGTTTGGTTATCCAAACATCTGTTGATGGACACTTAGGTTGTTTCTATCTCTTAGTTATTATGATAGTGCTGCAGTGAGCATGGGTGTGCATGTATCTATTTGTGTGCCAGATCTCATCACTTTAGGATACATTCCTAGTAGTGGGATTGCTGGATCAAATAGTATTTCTATTTCCAACTTTTTAAGGAATCATCATACTATTTTCCACAGTGGTTGTATCTTTTTACAGTCTCACCAGTAGTGTAGGAGAGTTCCAGTCTCTGCACATTGTAGCTGGTATTTGTTGTTTTCTGTCCTTTTGAACTTTGCTGTTATTGCTGGTGTGAGATGATATCTCATTGTTGTTTTGATTTGCGCCACTTCTCAGAAAGAAGGTTGGGCAATCTACTTCCATAGAGATACCACCTCAGAAGCCCAAGGAGGGGTTGCTGTGAGTTGCAATCGACTCAATGTCAGTGACTTTGGTTTAATGGCTAATGATTGCAAATGTTTCTTCATGTGTTTGTTGGCTGCCTGAATGTCTTCCTTGCCAAGTGTCACTGTTCATATCCTTTGCCCATTTTCAAAGTGAATTGTTTGTCTTTGTGATGTTGAGATATTGAAATTTTCTGTAAATTTTAGAGAGTAGTGTATTCTTGATGCACATGGCATCACCATGAGTTGGATTGATTTGATGCCAACTAGTTTTAAAGCATTAAAAAGCCTAGTTGTTCAATAAAATTGCCATAAAATAAATCAGAGAACTGAAAGCAGGTTGAAATTGGCTTTATTTTTTAATTTTGTTTCTAAGGGCAGAAATTGTACAAATTTTATAAATATTGTGAAAGTTTCAGATTGAAATATACCATATCTTCTTTGGCAAAACTTAAGAAGCATACTATATTATTTTTTAATTTGTGTTACTCAAGGAAATTGATTGTGATTTGCTATATATGATGTTCCTTTGTGGCTTTTTTAACTATGTGCTTTGAAATTGCCTCTTACATTTTTTTTTCCCTTATCTTTTTTTTTTAGTGTCAGAAACCGCTAATGATTCGGCAATAGATGACGTGGTTGAAAATCATGTGGCAGACCAACTTCCGTCAGACATTACACCAAATGCTGTAGATACTGAGTTTTCAACATCCTCTTCAGCCAGTTTACTGGAACGACCAACTAATCATACAGAGGCTCTGGGTCATGACCATTTAGGAACTAATGACCTAACTGTTGGTGGGTTTTTAGAAAATCATGAGGAGCCAAGAGATAAAGAACAATGTGTTGAAGAGAATATACCAGCATCTTCACTCAACAAAGGAAAGAAATTGATGCATTGCAGAAGCCATGAAGAGGTCAACACTGAACTCAAAGCACAAATAATGAAAGAGATCCGAAAACCAGGAAGAAGTATGTGTAACTAAGAGATAAACCTTAGATTTGATTTCTATAAAACAGAACAGTCACATTAGCTAAAGCATAGATCTGAATGTAGATCAGTCTTAAGCAACAACTGAGCCTATGAATCATTTGGCTTTTTACTCAAATGGCAAACATTGACTATAAACATTTATCTTCTGTATCTAAGGTACTATGCTAGGTATGGTTAGGCAGGAGGGACCAAGAGCAACAAAGAATACATAGATAAATTACACATAGTTCCTACCATGACAAGAACTCATGGTTTTGAGTATTTTCACCAGCAATTAGAATTTTTTAACGTAGCAGCTAACTCAAAAGAGATGTGTTGAAGATAAGATGATTTCATGTCTAAAATCCTTGCCATAATGCCTAACCAGCTGTGTTTAAGATTTAAGCTATGATAGTGACTAGGGATATGTTTAGGGTAAAAAACTAAAGTTATGAAAACTGTCTATTATATAAATGCAGAAGAATTTTGTAGAAAAAAAAATTCAGTATTACCATTCAGAAGATACTGACAATTGACATCACCTTCTATGATGGTCAGTGTCCCATGAGTGGGCCAAATGTGGGTGAGACTTGCTTTTTAGGAGCTTCTAGTCCTTAGCAGAATTTTATGTGAAAATTTGAAACTGAAATAGCACTCTTAACCTGATTACTCACCTCCCCGCATTCCCCCATTTACCCTCATGTTAACTGTAATTTAGAATTTACATTATAAGGATAGATTTTTGTAAAGGCCACTTGCCTCTTTTTTAGTGGCAATCCTACTTCCGTAGTGATACTGCCTCGGAAACCCAAGGAGGGGTCACTATGAGTCGGGGCCGACTCGATGGCATATAACAACAACAACAACAACAACCAAAAAGCTATTTACTCATCCTTCTAAATAAGCTTTATGATTGATACTTTAATGGGAAAAGAATGTTTGATAAGTAAACTGTGTTGATGTTTATTTTTTTCACACATACACATTAAAGTGCACTATAAAATCTTAAATGAAACGGTGAAATTTTTATGTAGAATATTTTTGTTTTTGTCTTAGTAGATCTTAAATAAAGTAAGCTGCAATAGAAATATATTGAATAAGAGTGCAAATGAAAGCCACTAATTTTTCTTTTTGTGTTTCTTTTAAGAATATGAAAGAATATTCACTTTACTGAAGCACGTGCAAGGCAGTTTACAAACAAGACTAATATTTTTACAAAATGTCATCAAAGAAGCATCAAGGTAAATAAACTATTGCACATTATGAAATGACTCCAGTTTATATAATCAGTGTTATATTTTGCACTTGTATTGTCTGTGCTTTCATTTGACACACTCACATCTATTTAAGTAGTACTTCTCATTTTTAGTTTACAAAATAACTTCACTTGAAAATTAACCACACACATATTCTCCAGAAATTATAGACAAGTATTTGCAACTTACTAGATGTTTGCGTATTTCTCATTTATCCTATTAGTGACTTTGAGGTCTTTCTTTTTTTCACGGCCTTTCATTTCTCTCATAATTTTTGAACCACAGTTAATGTTTATCATTGACTACAAATAATCTCAAAAGGCAGTACCTGAATGCAGTTCATTTTTACATGGGAAAACCTATAATTAAAGGGACTCAAAACCAAACCAAACTTACTGCCGACAAGTCAGTTCTGACTCAGTGAACCCCATTAGGCTTCCAAGGCTATAAATCTTTACAGAAACATACTGCCTCATCTTTCTTCTATGGAGTAGCCAGTGGGTTTGAACCACCAATTTTGGTTAGCAGCCAAATACTTTAACCACTATACCATCAGAGTCCCTTAATTAAAGGTACTAGAGTTGTACAAATTGACCTTACTACTGCTTTCAGTAGCCTAGGATTATGTAATTTTGAACTGAAAATGTGGATTATGGTTATAAAAGGTAACTAGAAAAAGTACAATCAATCGAAAAGTGTAGTTTGTATGAATTTAAAAAGTACAAAAAGCATTATTTATTTTTCTTCCAAGACTTAAAGAATTTGTCTCTTCTGACCCTCTTAATATAAGCAGTCCTTCCCCTTACCCATCCCCCCCCAATTAATCTACTAGTCTCTTCTATGCTTCACATTAAAGGCAGAGCATTTTTAGATAGAGTAGTTACTTTTTTCTTGAGAGTGGCTACAGCACAGACCACTTGTAAGGATCAAGATTAGGTCATAACTATTCATGTAAACATCAGCAGTGTTAATATTTATGTAGGTAAATGCAATTTTAATTTGAAATTAGGCTTCCTATATTTATTACTAAAAAATTTTTTAATTGCCATTTGAACACTATTTGCTATATGCTAGATTAGCTGTCTATCTTTGATAAGCTAGCTTTCTAGTTGGAATAGAACAGCATGGTTTTTAAATGCTATTGCCCAACTCTCATTTTTCCCATTTTGTGGGGGATTATATTCATACTTTGACCATATTACTTTCAACGTTCAGCTTTCAAAAACTGTATGGGGAAAAAAAACTATTGGAGTGATTGCTTTGCAAGCCCAAACCATGGTAAACTAATTCTCAACCCTTCTCTGTGTTAAGTTTTTTCCCTTCTTTTTCTCTTTATTTTTGGTTGTGAAAGGAATAAGTTCTTTTCCGTAGTACCTACGTCCACATTTATTTTAGGAACAAACTATAATACTATACTGGTTTTGCTAAATTCTCAGTAGGTTTTTCATTCGTAATTTGAAAAATCTTCCCAGAGCAGTTTTTCATCTTTAAACTTTATATTGGTTTATAACTATTGATTAAAAAGACATTGAGAGTGGTGTTACTTATTTTTTCATACAGGTTTAAAAAACGAATGCTAATAGAACAACTGGAGAACTTTTTGGATGAAATTCATCGAAGAGCCAATCAGATCAACCATATTAATAGCAATTAAAAGAAAATAGAATGTGGCCACTTAGTTCACTCTCTTCTCCAAACATAAAGTAAATACAGGACTGTTGTGATCTTGCATTCATTTTTGACATGCATTGTTGGTTATTTGAAACACAAAAAGGAAGTCTACAGATACTTTTCTCATCATTTTACAGTGACCTTTTCTTCACTTTGGTTTATTTTTGTAATGTGAAAAAGTATCACTCTAAAAAAATTTTTTATTTAACAAACTAAAAATATTCCTCCAGATCTCTTGCTTGTCATTGACTCTTGCGTGTCAATTTCCCTCAGGTTCTATTTTCTTAAACCAACCTTTAAAATTGTCACCTCTGTTAAGGTTGAACTTTGCCAAAAAGGAAAAAAGAAAAAAAAAAAGGAGTTACTTTGTAATTTTTGGGGAAAAAAGCACATACATTAAAACTAGGTAATGTTTTGTATATACAGTTATTTTGGATATATTATTGTAAGTTGTACAAATGTATTTTGAAGAATATTTAAGAAAAGCACTTTTGTTATTCCATCAATAAATGCTCTATTTTACTCTTGTGTGGTTTAGGAAATAATCACATTTAAAGTAATCATTTGAAAAAAAATTAATGGAATCTTAAAGGCCTTGCTTTTTAGCACTGGAGAAATATACCATAGAGGCTCCTATTTGTGAAAAGTAACTGTAATCACATGTTAGGTAATCTGCGTTGTCTTTTTACTCTATGTTCTTAGTTTTTGCTGTCCACAGCAACATACTCCCCTTTTTGTTTAGATAATGGAAACGACTGTATCTGTGACATACAAGCAGATACTTACAAAGCTGTTTCAAAAGCAGGCTTTGGACATTACTGGTTTCTTTACTTCCTTCAACCATTTTTCTCTTCTCACTAAGTATGTGGATGGCACTTTACAGAAGCTGTTAGAGGGAGTGGTAAGTGTGGGGTACACTACATACTCTAAAATGTCTAGCCTTTAGCAACTTGATGCCATGCTTACACAAAGGCCCATCACAAAGTGGAGGGGTCTCTTCATTCTGCTCTACTATTCTTGAGCTTAAACTCTCAATTTTATTTAGAAGCTAAAGGAAAGGAAACACAGTTAAGATGGCCTTGCTTATGATCACTTTATATCTCCCCCTCCCCCCAAGTGACACAGAATAAAGAAAACCCCATATTATTCATTCTCCATTGTCGATCCAACATGGCCTTGAGTTTCCTTATGAATGAAGCAATTCTATGACCTGACTCACTTGTCATTCATAGATCACTGCTGTGCCTTAGTGTTTTTTGGAGGTAACCAATAGAAAATGTTAAAATACATTTGGATTAAAAGAGGGTGAAATTTATAATAAATTGAAATATTTTTGCATTCATTGTATTTGAAAATCAAATACCCTTTTTACACTTTAGCAGAACATTTTTTTTTAATTTCAAGGGTATAGCAAAATGAAATTGTAACTTTGGGTGAAGAAAAGTATAGTTGAAAGGAAAGGGTGTACTTGAGATCTGTTAATTTAATCCAAGGGAATTGGAATTTTCCCAATACTGTAAGCAAACCCTGTCAAGATAAAGAAGCATTTAATGTGACATATAATATTTTCATATGCAATTCTTTAAACCTTTTTTTAATCTACAAAACACTTTTTAAGTAAAGCAGGATATCATTTAAAAGGTGAAGTTGTTAAAGTAATTGCCTGCAGTCACATTGCTAAATTCAGCAATTTCTAAACAATCCAGAATACATTATCTGCTCTTAAATTATATATGTTTAGATTCTGAGATTAACAAAAGGGATTAGAAATCATTCAGATATAAACTCATACTTAACAATATCTAGGAAAGAAACTCAATCTCGCCCATTATTTGTTAGCTTTCCTAGCCAGGAATTTTTTGTTTCCATTTGATGGGTTGTTCATGAGGTAATAATCCTTTAAACCTTTGACTTTTAATATATTTTGGGGTGGGGAGATGAACCCTAGATGGAGTTGGAAGTAACAATTCAGTCTTTTCTCCCCCCCTTCCCCCCCATCCTTTCTCTATCACCATGCATACTCTACACCCTCACATCAAAATCCATGTAAACTAAAACTTAATGCCCCATTTCTCTCAGGCATTTTGTATTTTAAAAGACTATGACCATATCAGGAGCTTATTATAGAATTTAACTTGTAAGCAAAGGGGAAGGAAAGTACGTTTTGGGTGCTATCATGTCTTTTTGGCCCTTTTATACTATTGAATAATAATAATGTAGGCTGGATAAATAATATTCTCTGAAAGTTTAATCTCAAAGGTGAGATCATTTTTTATTTATTTATTTTTTAATGTTCCCTTATGTGTCTCATCTGTAAATTGCTTGAGTCATTAGTTGCCCTTATCAATAAGATCGGTCAGTTTGGGGTATGAAAGACTGAGACTCGTTTTGATCTCTTCAATATACCTGTCACCAGAAGAGTAGTCATTTTGTCTTGTGTAATATGAGCAAATGCCTCCCCAGAAGAAAAGTAAATAAATTCACAGTGGCTTCAGTATGTATTTAGACTTGGAATATGAATCTGGTTTTGGATTAGTCATATTTTCATTCTGATTTTTAAGGCAGTTCTGAAAACTCATACCATGGAAAATAGTGGTCTGTCTTTTCCTAGCACAAGGATTTGACATCATTTTTATGCAATTCCAAGAAAGGAATCTTCCCTTTTAAACAGTGATCAACCTTTTTAGGTTTATCAGCTTTTGGCAATGGCCTTTCTATTCACAGCCTTGTCTTTGTTTCTTGAGGGAATGGAACCTGTTGTTTTTTCTTCTGTTTTTCAACATCCTTTCTAATGGAAGGCTCTCTGCTTACCATTCCGAGGGATAAACAAAATGACATTTTCACTTAATCCATATGGGGTTGGAATGGTAGATTGTGGTGAAATACTAGGAGGACACATTCTATTGATGAACTCCCCCTCCCCATCTGTTTGCTGATGAGTGATTAGCCTCATCCTTTTTGTCACAAAAGTGTTTCTTTGATTTCTAGCACAAGTTCTACAGCAGTATGCAAATGATTCCCAGATAAAATGATGTTGACATTATTTCCTTAATAATTTGTGTAAACCTTTGCATAATTTCCATTATTCTAACTTCTGACATTTTTTCTCTCCATTAATAAAAGTAATACCTAATGCTTAGTTAAAGTAGATCCACTTTTGCTTGATTTTATTAGTCTTACTCCATCCTATTTTTCTTTTTAATATGTTATTTAGACTGCCAAAAACTCTTTAGTGAGAATCTCTTTGTCTTCCTAGACTGATAAGTGCCAGAAGGAGAAGGGGAACATTAAACAGACTAAGCTTGAAAGAGAAATCATTTGAACACTTTGTTCAGCGCTTTTGAACCTTAAAAGGACTTGAACTTGTCATTCTGATGTCCTACTGCATTGTCTGTACCATACCATTTTTTAATTAAGCTGAGGTTTTATAAAAAAAAAAAAAAAAAAAATCAAACTTACTGCCATCAAGTCAATTCTGACTTATAACGACATTGTGGGACAGAATTGAACCACACCCCATCATAGAGTTTACATAGGCTGTAATCTTTATGGAAGCAGCCTGCCACATCTTTTTCTCGTGGAGTGAGATGGGTTTGAACTGCCAGCCTTTCAGTTAGCAGCCGAGAGCTTAACTACTATGCCACCAGGGCTGAGGTTGTATCCCAACCAACCAACCCACTACTGTCAAGTAAATTCTGACTCATATTGACCGTATAGGACAGAGTAGAACTGCCCCATAGGGTTTCCAAGGCTGTCCATCTTTATGGAAGCAGACTGTGTTATCTTTCTCCCACAGAGTGGCTGGTGGATTTAAACCACAGACCTTTTGGTTAGCAGCCAATGCTTTAACCACTGTACCACCAAGGGCTCCTTGAGGTTGTAAAGTGGGAGTAGAAGGTACTAGGGGAAACATTTTATTTTTGTGTAATTTCAGCAAGCTTGAGAAAGATAACTGGGTCAACTCAACTTTTCAAGAGAAAAACTTGAAATCAGGTGCATTCACTAGAATACTAGAATAGCTTTGTCAGTCAGTGAAGGACAGCTCTGATATAGTTGAGTGGCCTGAAGAAACTACCTTTCCTAAAATGATGAGTAAGTTAGATTCCAGATGAAAAAAAATATGTGAAGTTTGTCATTTATTTTACTTTCATCATTTTTCTAAGTCCCCGGAAGTAGAAACCGACTGAAAAATTTTAAATCTACATCAACTGCAAATGAGTTGAAAGAAAGCAGGCAAAACACACTGAAGATAATGATTTTCTTCATAGGTATGAAATACTCCCCTTTCCCAGGATACTAAACACAGCAGCTGGGAAGTTTCTGAAGCATCGTAGACTCTACAGCTAGAACCCTTGTTTTTTAGGCTGTAGCGAGCAGATGAGCCCTTGTTGCTAGAAAGAGGCTAAAAACTTGATTTATCTTAATCCTGCAAAAATAATGTTGTGATACTTGTGTTGAGTTCTTGCAGGGAGAAAAAATGAAGTGGAGGACATTTCGGTAACAAAGCTGCAAGAAAAAGAACAGGAATCCTGCATTTTCTGTACATTTGAAGAAAAATGCTATTTATTTAAATTGGATAAGACATCAATTATAGCCCTGGATTTTTGAAAACATACAAACATCCTAGTGACCTTTTATTGTTTAATGTTAAGATGGGCATGTTAATTGGAAAATTAGAAAAAAGATGCCATTTAGCCAACCCTGTCTCCTATTTTCAAAACATACCATAGAAGAAATTCCTTGCTGAAAGTAATTTTCAGAATAACTTGAGATTCCTGATTAATGGGATAATGGTAGAACTCCATTTCAAAATGGGTATCTCCTGTTTTTCAAAACTTTCTTGCTTTCTGTAAACATTGATAAGACTTTCTTTTTAGAAGTGCTGTGCCACATCAGGACTTGGGGTTTTCAGTTGAAAGATTTAGAAATGTGCAAATTCAAATGGGTCCATTTAGCACTGTAATGGAGTATTACATCTTAGGAGTATACTTGTGGCTGCAGATGTCTTGGTGCCTTCTAAAACCTCAATCTTGGCTCTCTGGACTGCTTCAGAAATGTAAAAGCCATTTTGGTCTAAACCTAGGAAATGAGAAAAATGTGATTTGCTTGTTAGCATTTTTTTGATGCATTTAGTTTAAGGATTTGAGTACATTTTTAAAGAAGGAACTTTAAATTTTTTAAGTATCCAGGGCTGCTGTTTAGCTAGGATAGAGAATTTGTAAAGTTCAGATTTTAGGCCACATTCAAAACCTCAGATAGGGCAAATTTATCCAATAAACAATCCCCCAGAATTAGTATTCAGATCAGTGCCCCATTTCTTCAATAGTTAATTTTCAAAAGTGATTTCTAATCAGTATTGAAAATATTTCCTTCAGCCAATATTTCTAGAACTTGAGTGGTCTTAAGAATCTCCAGGGTACTTGTTAAAATGCAGATTCTGGAGCTCAGGAGCCTGCATTTTTAACTAGCATCTGAGATGATTTCCCTTGAACCCTTCCTTGGGCTGTGTTTAAAGAGCCACTTTTAAGTAACAAAGTCAAGTTTGTATTATGAACTTGAAGCACGATTCATTGTATTAAAAATGTGTTTCAATGCTGCATGACTGCATTCTGTGTACTTAGGTCTATCAGTCATGCAATTAAGTTGCCCCGTGGGCTAGAATCTGCAAAGAAAATGAGAGGTTAGAATATAATTGCTGTGTGTTACAAAGATAAGCTTAGCAAAAAGGAATATAACGGGAATTGACAGATTTTTTTGTGATTTATTAACAATTCTTTAACTCTCCACAGAAAAAAAATGATACTTGATGACATACATAATAGTAAAAAAGAATCTTTACCACTAGAAGCCACTTCAGAAATCATGTAGTCTAACCCTTTCATTTTAAAGGGAACTGTTAAGACATCTGAGATCACACACTTACCTGGACAGAGTTGGGAAAATGCAGGTTTTCTGATGCAAAGCTCAGCACCAATTTCCACCCCACCCCTCCATACGCACACACTCAGTTTCTGTCGAGTTCATCCCATTGTGTGTCGAGAGCAGAACTGTGCTCCACTGCCTTTGCCATGGCTAATTGACTGGAAGTAGATCATCAGGCCTGCCTTTGAAGGGGCTACTGGATGGACTCACCTCCAGCCTTTAAGTTAGCAACTGAACCATGGGCCATTTGCACCACCCAAAGATGCCACTCTCTTTGAAAAGTGTATTCTGGTCAACTCTGGTATGCCACTGGAAGAGTATCTGGCATGAGTATTAAAATTATTTTGATGTACATTCTGTGTTTTGAGGGAGCTTTGTTTCATCTTAAACTAATAAGGTTGCTTTGCATTTTTCATGCATATACAAGGAAGTGGTCCATGAACGTGGCAGCAGAACAAACCTAGTCTAGAATATGCTGCATTTCATCCATTTGTAAATAAGTTATATGCAGAAAGTTACAAGTCAACTATTTTCACAGTTATTTTCCAGCACCAGTAAGAGGGACCCGACAATGGCCATAGGAAAGGAAAAATCAGTGGAAGCATTCACTTGGCATCTCTTGTCCTAAGTGAAGAATCTGATTTATTTCAGCAGTTGGTCTTTTTCTACAGAGTTTTTGCAAAAAGAAATTAATCCCTTTGTAATCGAATAATTAACCTATCACAAGCTCATTGAACAAAGTGAAATAATCGTGCAAAAATGAAGAGGACTTCATGGATAAAGATTAGTTCTGTGATGGTAGGGACAAAATTTTACTGTTTCTGACTTCATTACTGTCTAGGATGGTATCAGAACATTTTAAATAAATACTGAAATGGGCAGAGGTCCATTAAAAACTTCTTATCAACTAAGATGCATTAAATGAGTCTGCTAGTCTAGGCACGTAGGCTCAGGATGAGAAATGGGACCACTTGATAAGGGTAAGTTAGATGGTTATTGCTTGGCTATTGCAATATCTTAAATGGCAACTTAAGAGTTTCATTTAAATAGCTTTTCCCCACCAGAGAACAGGAATGGCCCAATAATTGATGGTCACCTGTTTCACAGACATAAACCATAACACCATAGCTGCCCTACCCCACATCAGCATCTCTTACATGTTATCACTGGTAAGAGCTGACATTGCAGAAAACCTGAATTTGTGATCAAAACAAAAATTAGGAATTATCTGTGGGTTTGCTTTTTTCTTCTTCCTTGATCTAGTATTACAGATCCCTATTTGCTTACTTTTGCTAAGTAGCTATTGAAATGTTACACAACTAATGAGATCAACCTGGAAGAGGCCAAGTTTAAAATGATTCTGGCTTTGGGCTCATCCTTCCCTGCAGTGTTAGCAGCTGCTTAGTGCCACTGGGAGTCATGCAACCTGTTTTCCCAAAATTTGTTACCAAGCTCTGATTCTTATAGGTGCTATTTTGTAAAAAAGGGTTCCATAGTTAATTAAATGTGGGAAATTAAACAGTTTTTTGTGTTTTTGTTTTTAGTAGGGGGCTTCTCAGAGCTGCTAATTTGCTAATTATAATATGAAGTGTTTAACTATGGAACCACCCATACCACCCACCCCCTTCCCAAATTTACTGGACTAGTATTCTGGGGAAAGTATTTTGGAAAACACTAGCCCACCATCAACAATTTGCCCCTACATTACAATATCTAAAGTCAAAGGAGAGGACTTTCTACTCTCCCTTCTGTCATATTCTTCACTCTTCTTCCATAACATCTTCTACAAGTGTTTACATGTCCATCTTTCTTTGCCCAACTAGCATGATAATGCTAGGTATGTATATGTGCTTAGTAAAGTTGCTTGGATGAATAACAGCCACGCCTCACACTGTACATTTGTTCTCTTCTCTTTTCCTCTTAAAAGCAGTTGCCTTCATGTTCTATTTAACCTGATTTCACTTGTAAGGAAATGGTGTCTGTAGCTCCACAGGATGGGCCTCCAGCCAGCCTCAGCCAAATGATTACTTCAGTGCCCCTTTTCCACTTTGTTAGTGAAGACCTTCTCCTTGATTCTTTGTGTGTGCTGGTCATGCTGTCAAAAGGTTTAAGAGTCCTCATAGTATGACATTGTGTAAACACAGGATTGGCAAAATTTAAATCAATCTCTCTATATTTGATCCCCAACTTCTCATAAAGCAGGGCAAACATATCATTTGCTGATTTCTTTCATGGGCAGCACAGATTCCAATTATTATTTACTATTGGCAGAGTTGAGGAGCTCTGGCAGTGTAGTGGTTAAGACATTTGGTGCAACCAAAAGGTCCGTGGTCTGAACACAGCAGCCACTCCACAGAAGAAAGATGAGACAGTCTGTTCCTGTAAAGATTTATAGCCTTGGGAACCCAGTGGGGTAGCTGTGAGTCAGAATTGACTCAATGGCAGTGAGTTGTTGATTGGCAGAGTTGTTATGTGCCATGAGTTGGACCCTACTGTAGCAACCCCTCCTTGGGTTTCCAAGGCAATATCACTACAGAAGTAGATTGCTCAACCTTCCTTAGTGGCATTTTAAAAGTTATTACCAGATGGTTATCTTTCTCATTGTCTTACCATGTAGTTGCTAAAAGGTAGTTGGACTGTGTGGTTCGCATAGCAGCCAGCCCATAATACAGTGATAAGAGTGCTAAGAATAATCTGAAATAGTTTCTGAAACTAGACTGTGGTTAATTGCTTTCTTCATTACTCTAGCTCACTCTTCATCCCTTTATGTTTCAGCTCTGATCACACATCTGATGTGGCCTAAATTAACAACAGTACTCAACGAACAACTATGGGTGGTTTACTCATTTAAGTCATAGTAACAGGGAGCTTCTACTTCTTACTGAGTGGATATTGCAAACTAATTATCCATTTATAAAAGTCCAAAACAAGATTGTTCAGAGTTTCAGGTTTGTGCACACGGAGTATTTCTTGGATTGGGGCATGAGTCTGCATCAAAGCCTGCTGAGTCTATAGGAAATGGGATTGCTCAAGAAGAGTGTAACTGTGTAAACACAAAGAATTACTCTTAAAAGCTTTCTGACACTTAGTGTCAAGGATGTTTGGGGCGTGAGTAGGTATGTATCCCTTGGGCTCAGGAGGCTTTGAAATGATACCGAGCAAGTTCTGGCAGCAAAAAATGGATTTGCTGCCAAGATGGAAGAGGTGAGTGACTTTTAAATAGGGAAGGAGACAGTGGCTTTGGAATCGGCGAAAGAAAAGGCCAAATGTTCCTTTTGGTTGTCAGGGTTCCGTCAATAATACAAAACCTCCTTGGTAACCCCTTGTTAATTGGAGAAAGAGAAGCCAGCATTTTCTGATACAATTAAGATGTGAGGTTGGTGTGGGGATAACCATTTTATGAATGAGGAAATTTCTTGGAGAGATTCAGTGGCCATGCCTCTAAAATTAAGTCAAAAGCAGACTAGAAGTGACTAGCCTCTTGATTGTGTTTAAAGAAGGGCATTGGAAGGAATACTTAAGTTAGCAAATATTTTTCGGGAAAGGCTCAGATAGTGCATATTTTAGCCTTTACAAGCTATATGGTGCCTGTCACAAGTAGTCAGCTGTGACTGTCGTCGAAAAGCAGCCTTAGACAATTGGTAAATGGATGGGAGTGGTTGTGTTTCAATAAACTATAAAAACAAGTGGGGGACCAAAATTTGCTGATCCTTGCTTTAGAGGAATACAACTGGGAGAAGGTTAGAAGACTTTTTTATAAGCAGAAAAATGAAGGAAAGCTTCACACCAGGCAAATGGTAATTGCTCAATAATAATTTTTTTTTTTCTTTTGTAAATTTTATTGCGATTTGGGTGAAAGTTTACAGAGCAAATCAGTTTTCCATCCAACAATTCATGAACATTTTGTTTCATGCAATTTATTGCAGTCCCCTCAATCTAACATCACTTCTCCCACTTCTCCCTGTGTTTCTCGTTTATATTCCTCCTCTTTTAACCCTTCCTGCCTTTCTTTTAACCCTTCCTGCCTTCTGAACTCCATCCCTGGGTAAATGCTGCCCCTTGAGCTCGAATGATTGGTTGTTCTAAGGAGTGTGCACCTTTCTATTTACCATTCCATTATGTGGCTGAAAGTTGAACCGCAAGAGTGAGCTCAGTTCCAGGATTGATGAAGGGCCATAGTCTCGGGTTTCGCTAATCTCTCTCTAGCCAGTAACCCTGGTCTTTTTTGTCTGATTTTGAGTTTTGTTCCATGTTTTTCTCCCCCTCTATACAGGACCTTCTAATGTGGTCTCTTTCAGACAGTCAGTAGTGATAGTTGGGCATCATCTAGTTCTTCTGGTCTTAGGGTTGTGGAAGTTGAGGTTCATTGTGGTCCATTAGTCCTTTGGACTAATTCTTTTCATGCTTCTTTGATTTTCTTTATTCTTCTTTGCTGTACTCAGGGAGACACCAATAGTTGCACCCTACATAGCTATTTGCAAGCTTTTAAGACTCTAGTTGCTACTTACCAAACTAGATTGTAGAACATTTTCTTTGTGGATTGTCTTGTGCCAGTTTACCTTGATGTCCCTAAGACTATAGTCCTGAGTCCCCATACCCAGCAACTCATTCTTTGAGGGTTTTTGCTTATGGCTGAGAAGTTTTCATAATTTTTTCCCTCTATATGCTCACTATAATGCTCAATAATTATTAAATAAGATCAGATTAGGTGGCCTATAATTCGCTGGTTTGAACAAATATAAGTAAATCTGCATTGCATGAGAAAAAAAAATGGGGATAGGTGTCAAAAAATACACTTAAAAAAACTGAGTTGCTTGTTAGATCTTGTCAGGGGCATTTATGGGCAATGAGGGTTAAGCTCAGTCCTGTTCATGGGCCCAGGATTTTAAGATGTACTTTTGAGACATAAAAGGAGAGAGATTTAAGAGCTATGAAGAAATAATCAGTAAGCCATATTGATTGATTGAATGTAGTGGTGTTGAAGAAAGGGTCAACAGTGGCCCCCAACGTTTTAAACTAGAATGATCAGGAGAAGAATAGAACTGCCATCAACAACGAAGATGCCATGGTTGAGTCAAAAGAAGTGACATGATTTTGCACACTATTAAAAATAGAATGCATCCATTGCTCTTTTGTTGCCTTCTGATCCTTCCACTCTAGTCTTTCTCCTTTTCCTGCAGTGTCTTATTATGTCTGGGTCACTAGAGAGAATTTCTGGTTGAGTCATTTAACTAAGCCAACAATATTTATTGAGTATTCCACTACTGTCTAACCACTGTCTTGGGTACTGTGCCCAAACTTGACTCTAGCTTTGTTTATTTCTGTGTGTTTAGGTTATGAGTCCAGAGCCAGTGAATTTTAAACACAGTAAAGTCAGTTTGATAAGTAACTCTTCCAGTCAGTCTGGTCACATCTAAAGCCCAAGTCAAGGCTTGTGGTTCAAAGTCCCTTTTTTTTTTTTTTTTTTTATTGCTTAGGAAGGAAGATTCTGGACAAGGCTTTAGAAAACTTGTTTGTGAGATGAGGTTCTGGCATTCAAAATAGTGATTCCCAATCTCATCCGGCATAAGCAATGTCAAGGTCAATGAAAATGTCTGCCATAGTGTCATTTTCCCACAGATAATTTACTATTCAGAGTAATAACAAACCTGAGCCTTTGGAATGGTCAGTAGTTTAGCTAGTGGTCTTCTGAGAGTATTCTGGAATATAAGGTTCTGGCATTCCACTCCCTTTTGTTTTTGATACAAGTTCCCTGTCAGATCATAGGCAAACAGCCCCTATTGATTGGTAGTAGTATTCTGCTATGTGCAAAGAAGTCCAATATGATGCTGAGAAGCAGAACATTTTAGGATTCGGTTACAGGAGCACAGGTAATTTGAAGAAAGGAAGTTGGATAGATAAAGGAAAGTTTCAAGCTTAGCTCATTAGAAGAGACAAGAGGAGGCAAAAAAGAGGGAGAAGTAGAAACAAAGGGTGATTGTGAAGCTGGGGAGACAGTGGGACATCAGAATAAAGAGCTCTATTGTACCAGTGTCTGGCATGTTCCTAGCCATGCAGGGCAGAGGGAAGGTGAGTTGTATTGTGTCCTGTGGTCCTTGACCTCACCATGAAGGTGGTGTCCAAAAGCCATGCTTAAAGGGTCTCAGGAAATGCCTCTACCCTCAAAGTCTAACCCAAATGTGACCAACAGCAGAAACAACAAATTCTTATGTAAAGCAAAGCACTTTATTTATTCTTTTAAATAATGTTGACTCTGGCTGTTTGATACTGAGCACTCTGTAAACAACCAGAAGCCCTTACTTAACGTATAAGACTGCCCTCAAACAGAGTGCCAAAAATCTCGGAAGAAAGAACTCTTGTTACCTGCAATTCCTTTCAAGTTAGCTTTTAGTGGATCAAAAGGATCAGTGAATTTATAATGCTTTTTAAGTTGAAATGATTTTAAAGCACAAAAATAAATAATCAACTCTCATGTAAAATTCTCACTCAGTCCAAACTCCTTAACTTGGAAATCAGAATTCTCCAGGCTCATTTCCCTTTCTCTTTCCCATAGACACTACCTATCAATTAATCTGAACACACTCTTTCCCACCTCTGGTTGGGCTGTTCTTTCCATATCTCCCCAACCCCTTTTATTGCCTTTGAATTACAGCCCATTTCTCTAGACCCCAGTCAATCGATACCTTCTCATCTCAGGGAGTTCCTGGGTGGTGCAAATGATTAAGCACTCAACTCCTAGCTGAAAGGTTGGCGGTTAAAATCCATCCAGAGCTACCTCAGAAAACAGGCCTAGTGATCTGCTTCTGAAAGGTCAGAGCCTTAAAACCCCAGGGATCAGTTGTGCTGAGCACACATGGGGTCACCATGAGTTGGAACTGACTCAATGGCTGCTAACAATATTTGTATATATAAACTGCCAAATTTTTCCACAGTGGTTGGTTGCACCATTTTATTATTCCTGCCAGTAATATATGAGGGTTCCAATTTCTGCACATCATTGTCAACACTTGTTACTTTCTTCTTCTCCTCCTTTTCTTATTTTTCAATTAAAAAAAAAAAATTATAGCCATTCTAATATGGCTATGAAGGTATGAAGTAGTATCTCATTGTGATTTTGGCTTATATTTACCTAATGATTGATGACATTGAGCATCTTTTCATAGGCTTGTTGACCATTTGTGTATCTTTGCAGAAATACCTACTCAAGTCCTTTGTCCATTGTTTAAGTGGGCTTTCTTTTCTTTTCTTTTTTTTTTTTTTTTCCGTTGTAAGAGTTGTTTATATACTCTGGCTACTAAACCTTTGTCAGGTATATAATTTACAAACGTTTTCTCCCATTCAGTAGGTCTTCTATTCACTTTCTTGATAGTATCTTTTGATGCAAAAATATTTTACATTTTGATGAAATCCAATTTCTTTTTTTTTCCTTTTGTTGCTTGTGCTCTTGCTGTCATATCTAAGGAATCTGTGTGTTTTCTTCTAAGAGTTGTATAACCTTGGCTCTTAGATGTAGGTCATTAATGTATTTTGAGTTAATTTTCATATATGCTGTGAGGTATGGGTCCAAATTAATTATTTTGCATGTGGAGATCCAGTTGTCCCAGCACCATTTGTTGTAGAGTACTTCTTGTACCATTGAATAGTCTTTGTACTCCTGCCAAAAATAAATTGACCATAAATGTAAGGATTTACTTCTGGATTTTCAATTATATTTCATTGATCTGTATGTCTATCCACATGACATTACTATACTGTTCTGACTTCCATACCTTTGTAGTAAATTTTGAAATTAGGAAGTGTGACTCCTCCAACTCTATTCTTTTTCAAGAATTCAGTGTCCCTTTCAATTCCACATGAATTATAGGTTTAGCTTTTTCACATTTGAAAAAGAAAAAAGCCATTGGGATGTTGATAGGGCTTGCACTGAATCTGTAGATCACTTTGGGGAGTTTTATTTCTTAACAATATTAAGTGTTCCAATCTATTAGCATAGGATAGCTTTCCATTTATTGAGGTCTTTTTTTCAGCACTGTTTTATAATTTTTAGTGTAAAAGTTTTGCACCTCCTTGGTTAAATTTATTCCTCAGTATTTTTTTCTTTTTGGTGCTATTGTAAATGGAATAGTTTTCTTAATTTCTTTCTTGGTTTTTCATTGCTAATATATAGATATATTACTGACTTTTCCTTGAATACTTGTTATGAATCCTATTTGCTCAGGATGATATATATATATATATATATATATATATATATATATATATATGCATGCTATTGGATTCTATTTGCTAGAATTTTGTTGAGAATTTTTACATCTATGTTCATGAGGGATATTGGTCTGTAATTTTCTTCTTTATGGTGGTATCTTTGCCTGGCTTTCATACCAAGGTTATGCTTGCTTCATAAAATGAATTGGGAATATTCCTCCTTTTCTGTATTCTGCAATAGTTTGAGTAGCATTGATGTCAGCTCTTCTCTGAATGTTTGGTAGAATCCTCTAGTAAAGACATTTGGCCCAGGACTTTTTTTGCTGGCAATTTTTTTTTAATGACCTATTCAATCTCTTCTTTTGTTATGAATCTTTTCAAATTTTCTTCTACCTTAGTCTGTGTTAGTTTACAGGGCTAATATGTTTCTAGAAATTTGTCCATTTCTTCTGTTGTTATTGTTGTTAGGTGCCATTGAGTCAGTTTCAACTCAGAACGACCCTACATACAACAGAACAAAACTGCCTGGTCTTGTGACATCCTCACAATCATTGCCATGCTATTGGCTCAATCCATCACATTGAGGCTCTTTCCCTTTTCCTCTGACCCTCTACCTTACCCAGGATGCTATCCTTCTCTAGGAACTGGTCACTTCCGACAACATGACCAAAGTATGAGAGATGAAGTCTGGCCATTCTCTCTTCTAAGGAGCATTCTGGCTGCACTCTCTGCTAAAACAGATCTGTTTGTCCTTCTAGCAGTACACAGTACATTCAATATTCTTCAACACTACAATTCAAATGCATCAATTCTCCTGCAGTCTTCCTTATTCATTGTCCAAGTCACACATGCATATGAGGCTATTGAAAATACCATAGCTTGGGTCAGATGCACCTTAGTCTTCAAAGTGATATCTTTGCTCTTAAACACCTTGAAGAGGTCTTACAGCAGATTTGCTCAAAGCAGTACATTGTTTAATTTCTTGACTGCTGCCCCCATAGACATTGTGGTCCAAGTAAAATGAGATTCTTGACAACTTCAGTCTTTCTTCCATTTATCGTGATGTGGCTTATTGGTCCAGTTGTGAGGATTTTTGTTTTCTTTATGTTGAGGTATAATCCATACTGCAGACTGTAGTCTTTAATCTTCATCAGTCAGTGCTCCAATTTTTCTTCATTTTCAGCAAGGAAGATTGTGTTGTCTGCATATCCCAGGTTGTTAATGAGTCTTCCTGATGCCATTTCTTCTAGGTTTTCAAATTTTCAGTAATACAGTTATCTTAGTACTCTGTTATTATCCTTTTTATTTCAGTTGGTTCTGAGGTGACATTTCCCATTTCATTTTTTATTCGTATTATTGCATCTTCTTCTACTTTTCCTTGTGACATTTGCTGGTGATTTGTCAATTTTATTAATCTTTTCAAAGAATAGATTTCTAGTTTCTTCTTTATTGTTTTTCTTTTTCATTTAATTCTGCTCAAATCTTTATTATTTCTTTTCTTCTGGTGACTGTAGGCTTATTTTGCTGCTCCTTTTCTAATTGTTGGAGATGATAGTTTAAGCTGTTGATTTTGGTTCTTGCTTCTTTTATTATGTATATGCATTTATTCGTATAAATTTTCCTCTGAGCATTGCTTTAGCTGTGTCCCAAAGATTTTGGTATGTTGAGTTTTCATGCTGGTTTGGTTCAAAGAATGTTTTTATTTCACTTTTTATTTCTTCTATTATCCAGTAGTTTTTAAGCAGGGTGTTATTTAGCTTCCATGAGTTTCATTTTTTTCCTTGATCTTCCTGTTGTTGATTTCTAATTTTATGGTGTTGTGATCCGAGAATTTGGTTTGAAGTATTTCAATGTTTTTAAATTTATTAACACTTGTTTGTGGCCTAACATATTGTCTATTCTAGAGAATGTTCCATGTGCAATGGAAAAGAATGCATATTGTGCTGTTCTTGAGTGAAGTGTTCTTTTTTTGGGGGGGGGGTTGGAGTGTTCTGTATATGTCTATGATGTCAAGCTGCTTGCTTATCTTGTTTAGTTCTGTGTCTTTGTTGAGTGTCTTTCTATTTGTTCTCTCCTTCATTGAAAGTAGCATATTAAAGTGTCCTACTAGGTGGTGGGGAGTTCTGGTAGCGTAGTGTCGAAGGCACTTGACTGCTAACCAGATGGCTGGCGGTTCAAACCCATCAGCCACTCCTCGGGAGGAAGATGGGGCAATCTACTTCTGTAGTGATACTGCCTCGGAAACCCAAAGAGGGGTTACTATGAGTCAGGTCCGACTCGACAGCACATAACAACAACAACAACAGCTAGGTGGCGTAGTGCCTAAGGGATTTGACTGCTAACTAGAAGGCTGGTAGTTCAAACCCACCAGCTGCTCCTCAGAAGGATGATCAGGCAGTCTTCTGTAAAGATACCACCTCGGAAATCCAAGGAGGGGTTGCTATGAGTCAGGATTGACTCAACAGCAGTGTGGTTTTTTTTGTTTGTTTATTCTTGTGGAATTGTCTATTTCTCTTTTCACTTCTGTTAAAGTTTTATTGATATATTTTGGGGCTCTTTCATTGCTTGATTGGCCCTTCAATTATTATATAATGTTCATCTTTGTCTCTTATGCAGGTTTTTGCCTGAAAAGTCTATTTTATCAGATAATAATGTTGTCACTTCTACTCTTTTTGCTTGCCATTTGCTTGGTATATCTTTTTCCAACCTTTGAGTTCTAGTTCATTTTTGTCTTTGTATCTCTTGTAGATATCATATTGATGGGTCATGCTTTCTTATCCATTCTGCTACTCTCTCTTGACTGATGCATTTAATCCATTTACATTCAGTATAATTATTGATAGCTATAAATTTATTGCTGTCATGGTGCTGTTTGTGTGGTGTGTGTGTGTTGCTGATTTCTTTGTTCCATTTAATTTTCTGTGCTGAGTTAATTTTATGGATTTATGGATTTTCTTGTCATTTCCTTTGTTGCTTTTTGATGTTAGTAAACATTTATGAATTTTCCCTTTTTCATTTTGATGAGAATATTTATTAAATTTCTTTAAAGGTACCCTGTAATTTATTATTTTCTTCATAAGTTTAAAACAGTTTGTTCTATTTTGAAATCATCTTGACTTTCTCTCAATTTGAAAGTTCTGAACTGTATTATTTATTCCCTCTTTTTGCTTTGTAGTTGTCCTCATTTACAAATTGATGTTTTTGAGTCCCTAATTTCAGCCTCATTTTGGTTTGGATACTTCTATATTT